ATACACTTACCTGCTTACCTTGGCATACTGTAATTCTCATAATTCATTGGTTTTACCATTCAAGCCATTCTATTACTTACAAATAATGATTATCTTTCTCTTCTTTGCAATCATTATATAATTTTTTCCTTTTTTTAAATAGTATTCACGAGAATCTCCATTAATATAGCAAAGAAAATTTTAGTTACAAATTGTTATAGGTGTAATGCTCATTTTTCTGTTTTTTAGTCTTTGCCTTTTTAAGGAAATAAAAAATGGCTGTTTTCTCCTACATATCCTAAGCACTCTCCTTTATTTATTTCTATTTTCGAATTTTTTCTCTAGGAATTTTTAGACATCTGTTTTATGGAGAAATATTTTGAAGCCTTCTTTGCATCCTGTTTCTTACTTTGGCTTCATAGTGGATAAACAGACAAAGCAAAGTAATTTTAAAAATTGCAAACATTAGGCCTCCCCCGTGGTGTAGCAGGTTCAGTGCTGCGCTGTGAAGCTGTCTGCAGCCTCTGCAGCACCGGTTCAATTCCCAGCCAGCCAGGGAGATTCCCACATGGCATGGCAGACCTCTCCTGTCACGCCCTGCTGCTCCTCTCAGCAGTGTCTTCGGTCCGTCTGCCTGTCCAGCTCCCTGCTTTGACTCTGGTGAATCCTCTCACCCTCCCTCGCCTCTGGCCTGTACCCCAGCTCTTGTATAAAAATAAATAAATCTTTTTAAAAAATAAATAAAAATAAAAATTGCAAACATTGATAACCAAAATAAGGTTTCTAAGGTTAAGGGGGAGGGAAAGTGAAAGGGTCAAAGGGATAGTGAGTGGGACGAAAATAACTCTAAGTTTCAAGTTCTTTCTCCTTTTACATTTTTAAATATTAATTAGTATTGTGTCCAATGTTGTTATTGTGAAATCTGATATAAACCTCTTTTTACTTCTTTGCAGGTAATTTACTTATCCTCCTCAAAAAGATTTAAAGCTTTTCTTTGTCTCAAATGACCTTAAATGTATCTAGAAAGTATTTTAAATGTGATTTTTTACCTCATTTGCTCTTCAGGAGAGAGAAAAGTGAGGCAAGTGAGAGGTCTAGGGTACAAATTTTGAGGCAGTTACTCCCTGGGCCATGCAAGTATCTCCATAAATTTTGCATCCCCAAGTCTCATTTGCTCATCTACTCTGACCTGCTTGGTGATCTGTGCATTCTTCAATCTGAAGTCTGATCTTTCTTTAATTCTTAGATATTTATCATTTTATCTTCAAATATTTCCTTCCCTCCATTTACTCTTCTAGGTCTCCTGAATTTTAGTGTTGATATTCTACCTCTTAACTTTTCTTTTATATTTTAATTTCTTTATCCTTTCTGCTGACTTCCGGGAGAACTTCTCCTTCTGATTTTCTAGTTTGTGAATTTTTTCACTTGTCTTTTTAATTTAAACTATTACATTGTTACATTTCTGATATTTTTTTCATGATTCTTTTTATGACTTCTTATTCCTGCTTCCATATTAATAACACTTTCTGTATCTTTGAGAAACTCAGTATGCTCAAATTTTTTTGTGTACTGTTTCTGATTTGTTTCACATAGTTTTAAAACTATTTTTAAATTTTGTTATCTTTCTTTTACAGTGTCTGTTAGTTTATCATAAGTCATGTTTCCCTAAGAGAAATCAGCAGCCCTTAGAGACAAAGGCTAAAGACCAGGTCTTGGTTGCGTGTCTCCCAGTGAATTTAAGGAAAGAAAATGAGGGTCAGGCTGGAGAGCATCAGGTCCTGTGACTCTCCCCACCTACGCCAGTTCTCTAGTCAGAATTCCACCCTAACCCTCTTTAAACTCTTAAAAAGAGACATGGAGAGAAGACCATTTCTTGATATTTTTAATCCATCAGCACTGACTGTTGCTGAGGGAATGGTAGAGGAGGAAATGCCCAAGGGGACAGCTTGTATCTGTTTTCATTAGCTCCTTATTCTAGAGGGAATTCTCTGTGCTGTTATGGAGTTACTAAGTTTACAATAGATGGCTAGGCACTTACTGCCAGTTTCTGTGGCCCTGAGACAGGCAGTGGCCTTTCTAAGGCAATGTTGGGGAATGTCAAGAGCAGAAATCGTCCACAACCTACCTTCTTGGATGCATTTGACCATCCTAGCCTCCAGCCTATGTGCCATCAATCATTCATACCAGTTCACCAAAATCTTTGGGTTTCTCATAGTATTTTTGATAGTGTGTCAGTTTCATATTTCTCTCTTCCATGATTTCCTCCTTTGTCAACAATGAGCTGACCCCTTGCTTACCTTGAAGAGACTCTCTAATTTGACTCCAGCATCCAAGGGTCTTTATAAATATTGTCTTTCATCCTCACAATTCTGAAAACAAATTATAGAGGCGAGGAAATTGTATCTCAATAAAGTGATTAACTTCAATGAGTTAATAACAGAATCAATGAAGTTAAGTGACTTGTCCAAAGTCTAAAAAATTTCATAGAGCTGGAATTTGAAAACATGCTCATGATTTGGATACTCCATTAACCCCACCTGATTTGTAACTAAATTTAGAGCTGTTCCCTTTTACCCAAGACTGTATCACACTGTGTTTCCAAAAAAAAAAATATTCTATGAGTTGGAGACTGTGGCAGTCACCGCCAAAATTAGTCTTTCCCAATTGGTAGAAAAAAAATATGTTTTGGATAGAATTTCTTCAATGTCATAGTAGTTGCCCATAAACTTTTATTAAATCTGTGATAACTGGGCCTCCCCGGTGGCGCAGCGGTTGAGCGCTGGGTTGCGAAACTGCCCGCGGCCTCTGCGGCGCCGGTTCGATCCCCGGCTGCTCCCCGGCCACCAGAGGAGGGTCCCACATGGCGCGCAGACCTCTCCTGCCGCCCGCTGCTCCCCTCAGCAGTATACTTCGGTCCTTCTGCCTGCTCTGCTCCCCGCTCTGGCTCTGGTGAATTCTCTCACCCTCCTGCACTTCTGACTGTACCCAGTGCATGTATAAACAAAAACAAAACAAACAAATAAACAAATAAATAAATAAAACATGCCTCTATTAAAAAAAAAAAAAAAAAATCTGTGATAACTGCTATTTTTGTGTGCTAGCAAATCCTAAGACATAATGATTAAGTAGAAAAGGAGTCTTGAATAAGTAATCTCATAGAAATCAAGAAACTTGTCAATTAAAATTTTTTTCCTGTAAGCTAGGAAAAGATCGCCACTTCATATCATGTAATATAAAAATATTTGAATATTCATTATTCCAACTAGTAAAATTAGTTTATATCAATGTTTGAATAATGAATTCATGAATATTTAATAATGTGTACTTGCTAACATATTTTCTTTTTAAATATCCCCTAATTTTAAAGGTAAGGCTTTTGAAAATTTAAATGTAATTTTATTTTTTAATAGTCAATACATGTATATGGTATACAATTCAAGTGGTACAAAAGAATATACAGTGAGAGTGAATCCACTTCTATCTTCCAGTCACCTATCCCCTTGTGCATAATATCGTAAATGTGGTAGGTGGGCATAACTGCCTGTATACATTTTTTTTTTCATAAAAGGGAGAAATTTCTTATTTTCTCTTTGACTGAGTTTGCCTCACTAAATTGGGAGTTACTCCTTATATTACTTTTGGGTGCTGAAAGTAAAAATAAAATGAGTTTTAAAAATTATTAAAAATGCTAATTTTTTTTTTTTAAGATTTATTTATGCATACAAGAACTGGGGTACAAGGCTAGAGGTGTGGGGGAGTGAGAGGATTCACCAGAGACAGAGTGGGGAGCAGAACAGGCAGACTGACTGAAATACACTGCTGAGAGGAGCAGCAGACAAGACAGGAGAGGTCTGCTGTGCCATGTGGGTTGCACCCTGGCAGGCCGGGGATCAAACTTAGTGCTGCAGAGGCTGCGGATTGCTTTATAGTGCAGTGCTTAACCCCTTGCACCACCAGGGAGGCCCAAAAATGCTAAACATTTTAAAGATAATTTAAAAGTAACTTTTTTAAAGATTTATTTATTTTATTTATACAAGAAATGGGGTACAGGCCAGAGGTGCGGGAGGGTGAGAGAATTCACCAGAGCCAGAGTGGGGAGCAGAACAGGCAGACTGATGAAGTACACTGCTGAGGGGAGCAGCGGGCGGCAGGAGAGGTCTGCGCGCCATGTGGGACCCTCGCCCGGTGGCCGGGGATCGAACCGGCGCTGCAGAGGCTGCGGGCAGCTTCGCAACCCAGCACTCAACCGCTGCGCCACCGGGGAGGCCCAAAAGTAATTTTTTAAAGAGTTTAAAACTTGCAAATTTTCAGAACTTCTACCTTTGGTAATTATGTATTCAGCAACAACTGTGGCCATGCTGGAATCTTCCATTTCATTCTTTTATTGCTAGTTCTTATACTTTCCCTAGACTTTGTTTTTCATCTGTGCACGTAGCATAGCTAACAGTACAATTGTAAAGCCATTATTGCATTAATATTAAATTTTTTCATTACTGGGCCTCCCCTCCTGATGCAGGTGGTTGAGCGCCATGCTGTGAGGCTGGCCACAGGCTCTGCAGTGCCGGTTCGATCCTGGCCAGCTGCCAAGGGTCCCACATGGTGCGGCAGACCTCTCCTGTCTCACCAGCTGCTCCCCTCAGCAGTGTTTTTCGTCGGTCTGCCTGTTCTGTTCCCCGCTCTGTCTCTGGTGAATTCTCTCACCCTCCCGTGCATCTGGCCTGTACCCCGATTCTTATATAAAATAAATAAATCTTTAAAAAAATAAAATAAAAATAATTTTTTTAATTACTATTAATTCCCTATGTGGGGTTAATTAGGCTGCTTGGGTTAATTAGGTTGCTTGGAGAGACAATGATGGATCTATTATATTTATTATTTAGGTATGCATAAATAACCCTGTATACTTAAAAGAACTTAGTTGGATTAACATTTTTGATAAAACCTGAACATTATAAATACTGATATATTTACACATACAAATATAATTTTTGATCTGATGTCACAAAATCTTTTTTTCTTAGTTCCGCTTGCCTCTCCTGATGCATCAGCAGAACTTCAAAAGAATTTTATCGAGCGCATCTCTTTTACACATCACTATGATGCCAGGAAAACACCCAATGAGCCCATAAAGGGAAAGGTGAGATAGGATAGTGTGGGTTATTTAATACTTTAGGATGGGATAAATTGATAATAGAACTTTAAGGGTTTTATATAAGTAGTAATTTTCCTAAAAACTATTTAATCAAACTAACACGGTTATTATGTGGATAAAATCTTAACTAAATGTCATAGTCAAAACGAAGGAAATATGTCATAATTTTGGACCACAGTCTTTGAAATTTGATTTAAATTATTAAAAATCATTCATTATCAAAGCAGTTTGGTAAACTTTTTTTTTCCAGTAGTTCACATTTTTTTAAAAGATTGATATGGCAGTAAATAATGTTATGCCTTCTTTTTTTTAATAAATTTTATTTTTATATTCCCCATACAATTGTAACCCCCTTATTTTGACCCCAATCCCTCACCTCCCTGCCCCCCAACCCCCATAGAGTGTCTCTGTTTCATAGTTGTTTGTTGATTTTGATTTTCACTTTCTTATAGTTATTCATTTTCCTGGTCTCTTATTTAAGTTTTCTAGATTCCTGCTATGAGTGAGACCATCCGGTATTTTTCTTTTTCTTTCTGGCTTATTTTGCTGAGCATGATCCCTTCCAGCTCTGTCCATGTTGCTGCAAATTGCATGTGTTTATCTTTTTGAATGCTGAGTAATATTCCATGGTGTATATGTACCACATCTTCTTGATCCAGTCATCTATTTTTGGGCATTTGGGTTGTTTCCAAAGCTTAGCTATTGTAAATAGTGCTGCTATAAACATAGCGGTGCAGGTGCTCTTTGGAATTGATGTTTCTGTGTCCTTTGGGTAAATACCTAGGAGTGGAATTGCTGGATCATATGGAAGCTCTATCTTTAGTAGGTCAAGAAATCTCCACACAGCTCTCCATAGTGGTTGGACCAGTTTGCACTCCCACCAACAGTGCAGGAGAGTTCCTTTTTCTCCACATCCTCGCCAACATTTGTTGTTGCTAGTTTTTTTAATATGTGCCATTCTCACTGGTGTAAGATGGTATCTCATGGTAGTTTTGATTTACATTTCTCTGATTACAAGTGATGTTGAACATTTTTTCATATGCCTGTTGGCCATTTGCATTTCCTAAACTTTTTGATGTGTGTAAGTGTGTGTGTGGGTATGGGTGTGTGTGTCTTTGTGTTGGGGAAGACACATATAAAGTTTATTGTAAAAGTCAAACAAATGTAATAATTGCTGGATTTTTTTCCACCCACAAATGTTTGTTTTCATATTTCACTGTAACTAAGCCGTTTGTTGGAACTAGTAGATACTTAGCATAAATCCTTAGGACTATGAACTGTAGTTTCTGTTGTATCCACAGCAACCTACAGGCAAAGAAAAGACAATTGATATGAATAGTTACACATAATCCAAATGATGGAAAAATTGAGAACAGGAGATAATGAGGTGTTTCTTTGATTTTCTGCCCTTCCCTTCCTGTTCATTTCCTGATATGCCTTATATTATATTTTGTTCAAAAGTTTCACCAAGAACCTGTCTGCTGCTGTCTTCATTTCTGGACTAAGGTGATAGGCAATGTTGAGGTGGAGAAAGAAGTGCCCACCTCCCCAGGACTTAAGTTAATACATGAACCAGGTTCACAGCTGCATCTTCCAGCAACTTACATGCCCTGGTTAATGTCAACTTTGTTTTCCTTTTCAGCGACAAGGAATTTTTATACAGACAGAGATAAAACCAGGGAGTAGACCAACAGTTCCTAAAGGACCAGAGGTATTACTGAATGCTCCAGGGTCACGCTCATCAGAACAGGCCAAAAAAACAGAGAAAGGAAACGCAGCGGAAAGTAAAATGATATCACCCCAACTCTGCCAACAGAATTCCCAAGAACTGATAGAGACTAAAACTCACTTATCAGAAACAGATGTCAAAGAGGCCACTAAGGCATGCCCCCGGAGTCCTGAGAGAAGGGAGAAGATAGCAGAAGTCTTTCAAACCACCGCAGAGGATGCTCTGCTCACCAGGCACCGTCCTTTAAATCCACCAGTGAAAAGTCAGGATAAATCAGGGTAAATTAACTTTTTCAGATAAAAAAACATGATCCGGGCCTCCCCTGGTGGCGCAGCAGTTGAGCACTGGGCTGCGAGGCTGCCCACAGCCTCTGCAGCGCCGGTTCATTCCCCGGCCGCCGGCGAGGGTCCCACAAAAATAAATAAATAAATAAATAAAAAACATGATTCCTGGAATATAGGGATATATGGAACTCTAAGAATTGTCATATAAACCCTCACACTTGCTTTTTCTGTTACCATTAACATCAGAACTAACAATTTAAATAAATAGAAAAATAAAAATAAAATATTCCAAAATTTTAAGAGTGGTCTCCAACAAGTGATGGGTTATGAGACATGTTTATAAACGAAACAACTCTGTTTTTCATCAAAAATTGAATGTGATTAATATCTTAATTCTGATAATTTGTTTGACTGTGATGCCTCATTTTCTTAGCATTGTACATTTTTCTCATATTTTTGTGATTCTTGGTTATATACTCTACTTTGACTATGAGATTTTCAGATCCCTAGCAGTATCAGCTGTGTCCATGTCTTACAGTCTAACTGCCGTGGGATAGGGATATGTAGGCAGACAGGGTAAAGGATGACTTGTCTGATGGATTCTCTGCTTCTCATGGAGTTCCATAGCTACTTAGACACTGCCCTGGTTTTCCAGCTCCAGCATTTGATTCAATTAGTATCACAGGTGCCCAGCGCTCAACACAAACGAACAGGGAGGGGATGACTGACTTGCATATGCAGTTTCCCAATTCAAATTGCTGAATGTCCCCAGGGCCCTTCCACTGCTTAAAATCCACTGACTCTAAGTTTGTAGTTCTATTAGACCTTCCTTCTCACCAGTCAGATCTACATATGCTGGCAATTGTTCTGTCTGGTTTTGTTTCTCCAAACATCTGTTCTCTGGTAATATTCATTAAAAATGTACTTATTCTGATAGTTTCCCTATTTTTCAATACTACTAACCTATATTTTACTATCCATTTTTATATGCTTGTATTTTATGAGATGTAGTAAGCAATAAGCAGTAGTTGTGTATGATCAGCCTACCATTTAAGTCAACCTCAAATTTACTTTTAAGAAAATCATCGCTAACTTAGTGCTTCTATCATAAGTAAATAACAAATTCTCCATACCTTTCCTACAGGTCACTAACAAATGTCAATGAGAACTGATACAATCCTTCTGTCTTAGAGAATATGTTTTAGTGAGAGATGGGAAGTTTGGGGCCAATAGGCTAGGTTGGTGGTTCTTGATGTTTTCAAATACAAAGATTTTTTTCTGCATTAAAAAAAAAGTTTATGGGGCCTCCCCGGTGGCGCAGCGGTTGAGCGCTGGGTTGCGAAGCTGCCCACAACCTCTGCAGTGCTGGTTCGATCCCCGGCTGCTCCCCGGCCACTGGAGGAGGGTCCCACATGGCGCGCAGACCTCTCCTGCCGCCTGCTGCTCCCCTCAGCAGTGTACTTCGGTCCTTCTGCCTGCTCTGCTCCCCACTCTGGCTCTGGTGAATTCTCTCGCCCTCCCGTGCCTCTGACTGTACCCAGTGCTTGTATAAACAAAACAAACAAACAAACAAATAAATAAAACATGCCTCTAAAAAAAAAAAAATGTTTATGGTTCCTCACAAAATAGTAGTTGAACTATCAGCAGCCATTGCTTTGGAAAACACCTAATAACAAAATGCAATGATAATATCCAGGTTCAATTCCCATTTTTTTAAATTAAGTTTATTTTCTTACCTCATTGTTAATTTTGGGACAGTATTTGATTTCTCCACTCAGGTGTTGTTCCCGTAGTTCTCCCACCACCATAGCCCGTGATCCATCACCACAGTCCCTGTGCTCTCCCCTCCCCTGTTTTGACCCCTCTTCTCATCACCCCCATGCCACAGATCTATGGTCAGCTTGCAAGTTTTTGTCTTTTTCTTGACCCTTGTGAAATAAAAACAACCAATATTTATCTTTATCCTTCTGACTTATTTCAATTCCCATTTTTTTAAAACTTTTGGGTTTTTTTTTTTTTTGACATAGAAGAACTGAGGTGTAGGCCAGAGATGTGGGGGGGTGGGTGAGAGGATTCACCAGAGACAGAGAGTGAGGAACAGAACAGGCAGACTGACGAAATACACTGCTGAGGGGAGCAGCAGGTGAAACAGGAGAGGTCTGCTGTTCCATGTGGGTAGTTCCCTGGCCGGGGATCAAATTCAGACTGCAGTGGTGACAGCATTGAGACTTAACCACTAGACCACCAGGGAGGCCCTCAATTCCCATTTCTTAACTAATTTAAGGTTGTGTCTCTCCACAATTAATTCAGTAGTCTATAAAAGTTATAACTATCATTACAAATAGTGCTCTTAAATTTCACAAAAAATATTGCAATATTTTCAAGTAGTTCCTTTATTAGGCATTTTCATAGAATCTGGCTTTTACCAACATTAGGGCTTTTTCAGTTTACTAAAGTGAACCAAAAATTATCTTTTATATAATTTAATATTTTTAAATATCTTCATGAATGCACTAATGTTAGGTTTTCAACCCTAACATTACTATTAATCTTTGTACAAAGATTTTTGTACAAAGCATTTTTGTACAAAGCATTTTAAGTTTCAAAGTATTATCAAATCCATTATCTTATTTTATGTATACAATAATCCCATGAAGCAGCGTAAATTATAATGTTCCAAATATACAGTTAATAAGAAGCTCAGGGAATTTTAGTGATTTCCCCAAGTTTGCAATTAGCAAGCAACAAAGCCAAGAAAAGAATCTAAGTTTCTCAATCCTCAGTTGATTCATTTCCAAATGTCAATACACAGGACATTGCTAGCCAATTAAAATGAAAAAGTGTAAGAAGTACCAAAGTAATCGCAATACTTTTATTGCGAGATTGTCGTTTTACTGCTTTTAGGGTTTTAAAATACTTTGTTAGACTAAGTTGATGTGGGAAGCACCCATCATTGTTAATACAGATACTCAATAAAATATAATAAAACAAATAAACAACTAGGCATAAAAAAGAAATTGAAATACTTAGGTGGTAGAAATGAAGAGATACTAACAAGCGGTGAGCTGAAGAGAGGTGAGGCTGGAGAGGTGGAATCAAAGCTTAAATGTACAGCTTGGAATTTTAATTCCGGAGTGGGAATAGGAATTGTGCATGTGCGGTGGAGTATGAATCTAGAATATCTCCTTCCATCAGCCTGACAATTAAAGGGGGCAGGCGGGGAGAGCAGACTGGTTTCCATCTGATCACACACCTCTCACAACCTGAGCTGAGCACTGGAGCCGGAGTCAAATGAATCATGAGTAGTGTGGGAAACCCGAACCAAGGTAGCAACAGAAAACTAGTTTGAATCTGAAGGACCCTGGTAGAGGGTCCCATAGTAACACTTCATAATCCTGGATATATGAGACACCATGAAAAAAATTACACATGATGAAATGACAAATAAATATATTATTTATAATAATACATGTAACTATAGTGTTAATTATATTTTATATTATAAACATAAGTACAATATATAAATAATATATGGTTTTATAAATATATATGTATAACAATTATATATATAAATAATATATATAAAGAAAAACTTCCAGTGAAGGGAGGTAGAATTCATGGTCCAAGAATTATAGGCAATAGAAAAAGAAACTATAAATTATGCTTAAAATTATCTAAAACACAAAATAATAAAAACTATACAGAAAATCCAGGAAACTATAAAAATAAGCATATTATGGGGGGAAAGCTATAGAAATTCTAAAGACAAAAATGTATCATTTTTTTAAAACTCAGAAGATTTAACATAATTTAAAAGAAACTCAGTAAATTGGAAGATAGAGCCAAAAAATATCATAAAAAGATAAAAAGGAATATTAAAAAGAAGAGGCATGGAGAATAGAATGTTATTAAGAGTTCTAGGAAATAGTAGAGTAATACAGGAGAGAAAATTTTTAAATAAAGAAAGCTCCTTGTTTCCAATAATGAATCTTCCCTTCTGCCTTATAACAGAATCATCCATTTTTAGTGGATAATTTTGCTGCCCATAATAAAAGCAATAACAATATTTTCCGGCTTCTATTTTAGCTGCATATGACTATATTCTGGGATATGACCAAAACAGCACATGCAGCTTCCAGAAACATCCTTAAAGAGAGAAGGTAGACCCTTCCTGTACATTTTCCTTTCTAGAAGCTGGAATTCAGATTGGATGATTTAAGTGGGAGTACATAATCCATTTGCTGAGCATGGTAAACAATAAAATAGAATCGTCACTATAACCCTAACATCTTCAAATGCCACCTAGGTAGCCTAATTTATATGAGAAAGAAATAAGCTTTTCTCTTGCATAAGTCATTTGATTTGAGGTCTTGTTTGTTAGGTTTTTTTAATCACTTGCAGCAGAACCAAATCCTAATGTAACAATGATTGAGAATTTCCTGGGATTAAAAAAAAATGTCTTTAATTTAAAGGAGCAAACCAAATTTTGACTTATAAAAATGAAGTTAAATTCACATCTGGAAACATGACAATAAAGTCACAGAACATCAAATATTGAATATAAAGCAAAAAAATTTAAGATGTTGTTATATAGAGATAAAGGAAAGGCAATTCCAACAACAGTTGACTTTTCATCCACAGCAATAGTTGCAAGACCATTGAGTACTATCTTAAAAACACTGAAGGCAATAACAACCCCCATAAAACTAAAATCCAAGCATGAAAACAAAATTTGGACACTTTTCAGACATGTACAGATTAATAATAGCAAGTGTTTATACAATACAATTTTATGAGACATTCTCTTTTTTTGATGGTTTCACAACAATATAAACAAATTTATTAAGTTTTTTTCTCTTTTTATTTTATTTTTTCTTACATAGTTTTCCTCCCCATAGTTCCCCCCCAACCACCACCATATCACCCCTGAACCATCACCATATTCCCTTGTGTTCATACCTCCCATTTTGCCCTCCTTGCCCCTCATCCCCAAACCCTCCTTTGTTGTATGCCTCAGATCTTTGGTCAGCTTGTTAGTTTTGACTTTTTCTTGACCTTTTGTTTGGTTTCTTTATATTCCAAATATAATTGAGACCATCAGGTATTTATCTTTTTTCTTTTCTGACTTATTTGGGCTAGCATAATTCCTTCCAACTCCACCCCTGTTGCTGCAAATGGCATGAGTTTGTAAATCACTATTCTAAGTGCTTTAACTTTGTAATCCCCATAACAACCCTCTGAGGTAGATACTATTAATATTAATTATCATATCAAAGGTGATGAAACTGAAATACAAGGAGGTTAAGTGTCTTGCCCAGGATTCAT